CATCCGGGCACCCCAAGGCGCGTGTTGTCGAGCTCGTCGCCCTCATCGCCGTCGACCGTGCCACGAGCCGCACAGCAGCAGGCCCTTTCGCCCTCAGCAACGTCGTGTTGCGGCCGCTCACCACATTCGGATACCAAGCCGGGGAGCTTGGGGAGTCGGCTTGGCCCGGCCAGGACCAGTACGAGTGGGCCATCCGAGAGGTGCGAGCACAACTGCAAAAGGCGTGGGGTTGCACACAGGGCAGCTAGGGCTTGTGGGCAGCTGCACACTAGAGGACTCACATTAAGCAGGAGAGACAGCTGCGAGCGCCGGGTACTGCCAGCTCGCCGTGCTCATTCACGGCTGTGAGTTTGGGTTGGAAGCTCAGCGTTGTCATGCTCAAGCATGTGTTGAGGTTCTAAACCCTGGCGGGCTCACGGCCTTGATGCAAGGCTGCGATTCAGTTGCAGAGGCCCTCCCCCATGACTATGAAGTATCCTCGATCCTCAAATTGCGCTCCGCACTCCCCTGCTGCCTGCTGCCTGCTGCGCAAACCTGCTAGGCTGCGCTAGAGGAGTGGCAGGTGAGGCCAGCAGCGGCACCACAGGGGTGGGGGCCAATGCCACGCAGTATCGGGGCCAGCCTCGCGCCTGGTGTCATGAACGACCTCCGCCTTCGAGAAAGGCGAACGTCCAAAAAGGTCTTGCAACACCTGTCAAACAAGGCCAGCGCTGCCTCTGAAGCTGGGTGCAATGCTGACAATTGCACGCGTCGCTCTGAAAACATTCCCAGGAGGACTTAGTCCTGGCACTGCTGGACGTGTTTGCCGACCGCGCCGCCCACCAGCGCGCCGCGCGGGACGCGCTGCTGCGAGACTGCTCCTGCGACTCCGCGCCCGCCGCCGCCGCGGCCGCCGGGGACCTGTCGGGGGCCGGCGGCGCCGCGGAGGCGCGCCTGCGGGCGCTGGCGGCGGTCGAGCGGGCGGCGGCGGTCGACCAGGCGGTGTGCTGCCTCGCAGTCTACGCGGGCGTCATGACCCCAGCCCAGTTTGCGGCCTACATGGCGGCCGCGCTGCCATGGTGCCCCTCTCTCACGGCGTTTGGCGACGCGCTGCGGCAGCTGCGGGCGCGCGCGCAGGCGCCGCCCTCGAGCTGACGGTGGCGCTGCAAAGCCGGGCGACGGCCGCGCAGATCGGTCCGTTGTGTACCGCGGCCGGGTTGTTTGCGGGAAACCGCCGCACGCCGTTCCCTTTTTATGGTCACGACAGCCGTGCACCCTACGTGTGGGTGTGCGTCCGGCTGGCCGTGGCGCCCTCGCAAAGAAACCTGCCAGCTCGAAGGGCTCAGCGGAGCCCCTGTCACGGCAGCCCAGCCTGGCAGGTTCCACGCGCGTGAGGCGTGCAGCGCGCCGTCTGCAAATCTTCCTGTTGGCAGCACTTTGCTTGGCCAACAGAGCCAGCCAGTCGGCTCCGTCTGCTGCAATTGTTCAACTTCAACCCAATCACTCGTATTTGCCGCTTATCCGTGCACTGCCACTTGATTTACTTCCGTCTCTGCGGCACCTCGAGCGCACAATGCAGGGCTGCCTGATTTGGCACCCTTTGCTTGAGTATCCTAGTGAGACCTGCCGAGCGGCAACTTTCTTGGCGGTCCACAGCGCCTGAGCGCCCCTCGCACCCTCGGCGTCGCAGCCAGGGGCCCGTTAACCGTTTCTTGACCGTGACGGTACACCCCCTGCTCAGGGTTTGCTGGGAACGAGCCAGGTTTGCCGAGGGCGCGGCAGCCGCCCGTCGCCGAGTTTGCAAAACCCATGTAACAGGCAGCGGCTGGTGGCAGTGGCGCCGGCCCTCCCCCTCTGAAACAAGGCAGGAAGGAGTGCGGGCTGAGTCATGTGGTTGCACTGCAGGGGCCACCTTGGGGGCGGGCAGACGCGCTGCGGGAACCCACCAAGCCCTTTACAATGGGGGCGATCAGGGGACAGCTGCGGCGCCGCGCCAAGCCGGGCCAGGCCGTGTACACCGTGAGCTATGCGCCGTCCACGCCCTCCGCATCGTCCTCGCCGTCCGTGTCGCCCCCGCCGGCCCTGCCCGCCCCCGCCGCGCGCCACTCGTTCAGCATCTGCGCCCACTGCACCGCCGCAAACATCAGGTCCGGGTCCCCGCCGCCGCCCGCGTTGGCCACCAGCTTGAACGTCGCCTGGCGCGCCCACCTCGCGCCAAACGGCGGCGGCGGCGGCGGCCCGCCCTCGCCGGCCTCCAGCCTGTCGCGCCACATCCGCAGCAGCAGCGCCTTGACGCGCGCCGCGACGACGCCGCCGGCGCCCGCCGGGGCGCGCAGCCCCAAGTGCGCGGACGGCGGGAACGCGGGGGGGAGTGGCGCCTCGGGCCCCAGCCAGTTGAGCGCCAGCACGCGCTCGCCCTCCGCGCCGCCCGCGTGCTCCGCGGCGCGCAGCAGCAGGAGCGCAGCATCGACCACCTCTCCGATCGGCGCGTCATCCCGCGCTGCCGTCAGCGGCCGCGCGTGCTGGATCGCGCACAGCAGCGAGGTTTGCATGCAGCCGAGCTCGTCGCCGCTGGCGCGCTCGGCCTCGGCGGCGGCTACCAGCGGGCCCAGCAGCGCCGGCAGCAGCCCGAGCGCGCCCGCCGCGGCCGCGGCAGCGAGCGCGTTGGCGGCCGCCGCGGTGGAGGCAGAGTTGTCGAACGGCTTCCCGATGTCCGACAGCAAGGCCAGCGTTTTGACGTCGCGGCGCGCCACCGCAGCAAGCAGCAGCTCCCAATGCTCCTGCGGCGCCAGCCACGCGGTGCCCCACGAGCCCGGCAGCCAGCCGCGCCGCGGTCGCAACCAGCCCACAAACGGCTGCCGCGCCCCGGCAGCGCCGTCGCCCGCCGCCGCCGCCGGCGCCCCGGCGCCGGCCCCGCGCCCGCCCCGCGTGCCAGC